AGGCTGGAGGTTGGAACCCCACCAGCTGCTCCATGGAAGAAAGACAAGGAGGTCTACTTCTGTGAAGACTGACAGCCTTGGACACCCAATAGGGGTTGCTATGAGTCGGAATTGACTCAACGGCAATGAGCTTGGTCTTTGGTCTGAGCAAGCTCTAACGGAAATCACGTCTCTGACTTTACACCGAGCGAAGCAAGCCCGACACATAAGGCTACACCCTGCCTGATCCCACAGGAATGAAACAGCTGGACTCAGAGGGAGCTGGGGGCGCGTGGGACTGAGGCGGCCGGGAGAGGGCACGGCCTGCAGGGCCTGAGCTTCTGTTCAGGGTGAGGGGAAAATGAGGGACAGACGGCGAGGTGACCACACAACTGGACGATGCAACGGCTGTGGGGGCCGCCGAGCTGGTTCCTAACGCACAGCAACCTGGTGACAGGGCAGAGCCGCCCCGTACGGTTCTCGGCTGTGAGCTTCACGGGAGCAGAGCACCAGGTCTCTCTCCCACGGACCCACTGGGTGGATTCAAACCGCCAACTTCTGGTTAGCAGCCGAGTGCTGAACTGCACACGTGAAAAATGTTGATACGTGTGTGTTCATATATACTTACATATACCTTTATGTACACATATACGTATATATATGAAGGCACCCAGCTACTCACCAGAAGGTCTGTGGTTCAAACCTACCAGCTGCTCCATGGAAGAAGGATGAGACAATCTATTTCTGTAAAGACTGACAGCCTTGGAAACCCTGTGGGATCACTGAGTCAGAACTGACTTGATGGCAGTGGGTTTGGGGTTGTGTGTGTGTGTGTGTGTGTGTGTACACAATAAAAATTAAATCCAAAACCTTACACGTAATTCAAATTCAGTATAGAAACTTAAGAAATACACACTTGCACAAGAAAGCCTAATTTCCCCTAACTTTTTACATTTCAGGGGAAAAAAACTCAATGATGCCATGTGATGGGTGGAGTGTGGGCACGGAGGTCAACAGCTCCCCTGATGTTGGGCGCGCGTGTGACTCCAACGCTTCCCTCTTGTGACTGAATCCCTGCGTGTGTCCATGATGATTCCCCAGGAGAAACTCCTCGATACAGAACCGCTTGATCAAAAGGAATCCTTATTTTTGAAGTCCTTGCCAGGGGCTGCCAAACTGCCCATCTAAGTCTCTGAACTGCTCACGTCAAGACAAAACGAATGCCTAGCTGAGCACATCCAAGGACAACAAGCCTCCTGGCCAAATAGAACAGACCAACGGAAAGGCCAAAGCTGTGAAGTCTAATCCTGTTTCCAGAGACAGGAGCCAGGATCAGGAGTCTTGGCTCCCACTCCTCATCTGCGTGACCTTGGGCAAGTCACCAGCCACTCCACCTCCAAACACTGAGGAGCGAACACCTGCCTTTCCTACCCTGCAGAGTCCTTGCAAATAAGAAAATATGTGGAAGTCCTTTTGCACTGAAAAGCCATGGATGGTGGGGGATGGATGAATGGAGGGTGGATGGCCGGGTGGGTTGATGGGTGGATGGATGGTGGTTGGATAGGTGTGTGGATGGGCAAATGGATGGATGGATGGACGGGTGGGTGGACGGTGGACGGGTAGGTGGGTGGATGGCCGGGTGGGTGGATGGGTGGATGGATGGTGGTTGGATAGGTGTGTGGATGGGCGAATGGAGGGATGGACGGACGGGTGGGTGGATGGTGGATGGGTAGGTGGGTGGACGGATGGGTAGGTGGGTAGGAAGGTAGACAGATCAACTGATAGATAGTTGCCACCATCAAGTCAACTCCAACTCACGGTGACCTTACACACAACAGAACAGACTGCTGCCCGTCCTGCATATCCCTGCCTATCACCAGTGTGTTCAAGTCCATTGTCGCAGCTGCTGAGCCAGCCACCGAGGGTCTCTCCCGCCCTCACTGGTCCTCTGGTTCATTCAACAGGATGTCCTCCTCCAGCCACTGGGCCCTTCTGATGTGCACCCCAAGCAATGAGCTGAGTGCTCTGTGGGGACCCCTGGCTGACTTCTGGCACATCACCAGACCTTTCTTCCTAGTCTGTCTTAGTCTGGGAGCTCGGCACAATTTTTTTTTTAAAGTAATATTTTACTGTGTTTCGGTAAAGGTTTACACAGCAGGTTAGGTTCCAACTGAACAGTTTCTACACAAGTTGTTCAGTGACACTAGTTACGTTCTTCACAATGCGTGAAAATTCTCCGATTTCCGTACTGGTTGCTCCATTTCCATTCATCTAGTCTCCCTGATCACCTTCCTTCTCACCTTTGTTTTACAGTCATTGTTGACCCTTTGGTCTCAAAAGTTTTTGAAGAAGCACGGTATTTATGGGTGAGAGTCATGATTTTTTTGAGCAAATTTGTGATTTGGCTACAAGAGGCTCTCGGGGGTTAGTGGTGGTTCAAGGCTTGCAGAGCATCTCAGGGTGACAGACTCAGACAGTCCTTCAGTCTCAGAGGGCCTAGGTGTTTGGGTTTTTGTTTGTTTTTAAGAAGCTGAGGTTCTGTTCCACATCTCAGCCCCCTTCTATCAGGGCCCATCTACTGTGGCCCCAACAACTGGAATTTTTACTCTAAGAAGCGCTGCTGTGACGGTTTTCTGGCTATTTTGTCCTGCCTCCGAGAACTTGTACAAAAGCCACATCATCCGTCTGCTCTTTCTTCCTTTCCTGGAAGCCAGCTGGGCCACGGGGATGAGACGTCACACTGAGAACCGGAGACCTGGGATGCTCGTCACAGCCCCTCTCGAACCCCACTCCTCCTGAAATACTCGCTTTCTGCTTGGGCACGGCAGGCTGGTGCTTTCCCCAGGGACATCTGAAGATTGAAGGGGGGCTGTCAAGAGAGACCCCAGAGGAGACCCAGGCCAGGGAGCCCAGGTGGGAATGTCATGGACACATGTCCGTCTAAGCCTCCATCCAGAAAAGAGGGAGCTGGTGTCCCCACATTGCCCCTGCTATGGGGTCCCCACACTGCCCCTGCAAATGGACTCTTCCCTGATCACGCAGTCCACCATGACCTCAAGACCATGAGTGACGCCTAGTCCTTCTGCGTGGTGACAACTCAACTGTGGCACTGTTGAAAGCATCCGGACCTATCACCTGGCATCGGAAGGCCTGGGCAATGTGCAACTAGAACACCTAACACCATGTAACTGTGTGCTGGTGAGTCACGCAATCTCTCTTGCCGTTAGGAGGATCCCAGTGATGACGCGTCCTCTGTACCTTACAGGGATACGGAGGCTCAAATTTGATCGGTATGTGCAAACCCTCCAGGCACGACCCCCAATGGGTTTCCAAGGCTGCCAATCTTTAAGGAAGCAGGCCACCCCATCTTTCTTCCATGCAACAGTTGGTGAGTTTGAACCGCCGACCTTTTGGTGAGCAGGCAAACGCCTTAACCAGTCCACCACCAGTGCCCCTTCCCCCAGGCCCAGGCGACCTCTACTCTGTCTTCCATCTGTGAATTTGCACACAGGAGTCCCTGCGGGGTGCAGACGGTTCAGTGCACGGCTATCACTGAGTGTTGGCAGATCAATCTACCCAGGGGCCTTGGGAGAAAGGCCTGGTGACCAGTTTCCAGAAGGTCACAGTTATGAAAACTCCATTCTGACACATACGGGAGTGCCATGAGTCAGAGCCAACTTAGCGACAACTGGTTTGTTTTGTTTTGGGGACCACATAGTATGTGCCCTTCTGTGTTGGCTTCCTTCACTCTACATAGTTTCTGAGGTTTGTCCATATTATAGCACCTATGAGAACTTTACTCCTTTTTATGGGCTGAGTACTATTCCATGGTATGGACAGACCACATTTTGTTGACCTACTGGTCCATTGATGGACGTCTGGGTTATTTTCACATTTTTTTTCCTTGTCCCCTCCTAGCTTCTGTGAAAAGTGCTGCCATGAACATTGGTGTACATGTAACTGTCTGAACATCCACTTTTAATTCTTTTGGGTAGGTACTTAGGGAGCTCTAGTGGTGTAGCCCCTAAGGCACTTGACTGCTAACCAGAAGGCTGGTGGTTCAAACCCACCAGCCAGTCTTCGGAAGGAAAATGGGGCAATCTACTTCTCTAGTGATACTGCCTCAGAAACCCAAGGAGGTGTCGCTATGAGTTGAGTTCGACTCAATGGCACTTAACAACAACAACAACAATAAGGAGTAGCAGTGATGTATGTAATGCACAGAACACAGTGAGTCACAGACCCTTAGCTATACTGCGGAGCATGTCTTTGTAGCAGAGCCTTCTGTAGTGACATGTGGCCTGGTTATCTTAAGGGAGACAAGCAAGAGAGGAACAAGGTGGGTATCGTGTTTCTGTTGATGTAGAAGGAAGGAGTGTGTGTGTGGTGAGCCCACCCAAGCGATCCTAACTCTAGAAGCAAAGATGAAGATAATTTTTGATAGGTTTTGATAGTAGCCTTTAGGAGAGAAATTGTGGGTGAGGGACACAAGACAACATCTTTACTCTATGCCCTCTCCTGCTATTAATGATCTCCTACATCACGTATGGAGCTCTGGTAGCGTAGTGCCTAAGGCACTTGACTGCTAACCAGAAGGCTGGCTGCTCAAACCCACCAGCCACTCCTCGGAAGGAAAGTTGGGCAATCTACTTCTGTAGTGATACTGCCTCGGAAACCCAAGGAGGGGTTGCTATGAGTCGGGTCCTACTCGACGGCACATAACAACAGTGACAACAACATGGTCCTAAGGAGCCCTGGTGGCACAGTGGTTCAGTGCTTGGCTGGTAACCAAAAGGTTGGTGGTTTGAACCCAGCAGGCACTCTGCAGGAGAAAGATGTGGCAGTCTGCCTCTGCACAGATTAAGGGGTCAGTCTCCCCCGTCCCATAGGGTCGCTATGAGTTGGGATCGAGTTGATGACAGCAGGCTTGGCTTCGGTTACCCTGACTCTCGATCTAGTTCTCGAGGAATTGCCAAACAGGCGTGATCTTCTCTGCAACGCACCTGCTCCCCTTCCATCACCTGGGCGTGCTCTGAAAGCCCACCCGCTCCCCGAACTCTTGATCGGGGCCTGGGGAGAAGGGCTGCAGAAGCGAGCGGGGCAGCAGAGAGAAGCCAGGCTGAGCTTAGCCTCAGCGCAGCTGGAAGAGGGGCTGAGCGCTGGCCACGGGGAGCAGAGGGGGAAAGTCGTTTTCCTGTTCTACGAATGACTCTTCTTAAGAGCTCCAGGGCCGAGGGCAGACCTGTCTCAGCAGTGTCATCCAGGGTCTAAATTCTAGATGGGGTGGCTGGGATGAACTGCCATCTCCTGAGCCCCCCAATACTTCTGCATACTGTACTCATTCACCAAACACTGACTGTATCTACTACGGCCAAACTTGAGATGCTAAATCCTGCTTTTGTAGAAGAAACTGAGGTTCAGAGAGGAGCAAACCGGGGTGCAGAAGCAGTCCCACCTGGCTCCAAAGTGCCTGCCAATACCGTCCACCACATTCTTTTCTCTACAATGATGGTCCATCCCTTCCTTCTGCTCTTGGTTAAGGACTGAAGTGCTTTCTACAGAGAGGGCCCTGGGTGGCCGGAAGGCCTGGGCACAGCCTTGTCCAATGCCAACTTGCCAGGTTGAGATCATGGACAGTGGGCCAACTCTGACAGCCTCGCTGAGACTGTGGATGGTGGGCCCAATGCTGACGGCTTCGCCAGGAAAGCCCAGTCAGCCTCTCCAGGCTACAGAGCCTGAAAGGTCAAATAAAGTCTCAGCCCAAGATGGTTCTGTCCCCAAGGAAGCCTTCCCGAGATGGCAGGGTCTCTTGCACAACTGGAAGCTAGGAGTCTGCCTGGAGGCACGCCTCTCCCTGTTCCAGGCCACTGCCCAAAGCCTCAGGCGCCCAGAGCAGGTGGACAAACCCATTATATCTTCGGGTCAGTCTGGCAGATGACGGTCTATGGGCGCCATTCCTTCTGGAGTTATCCTGCCTGCTTCTGGCAGCCAGGTGAGAGGGGAGCTAGCTGCATCCGTGGAGCTCACACTGGACAGTCGGGACTGAATGTCCCAGGCCAGCAGCCACTGAATTCTCTCTTCAGGGACGATTTATGGAACACAGTGTGTGGTGTGTTGCTGTTGTTGTCTGGGGCCATCAGGGAGATTCTGACTCACAGAAAACTGCCCCATATGGCTTCCTAGGCTGTAATCTTTACAGGGGGAGATGGCCAGATTTCGAACCGCCAACCTTTCTGTTAGAAACTGAGCACTAACCATCGCACCACCCAGAACCCAAAACTCACTGCCATCGAGTCGATACCGACTCATACAACCCCCACTGGGTTTCCGAGGTGGTAAATCTTCACGGAAGTAGATTGCCCCATCTTCCTTCCGCAGAGTGGCTGGTGGGCTTGAACCACCAATCTTCTGGTTAGCAGTCAGATGCCTTGGGCACTGCATCCCTAGGGCACTTTATTTTACAGCACAGACCCTGTGAATTGACTATATCATGCAGGACAAAGAGGAGCTGAGGGGCTGTTCCAGGGTAAAGGAAATCAAAGGAACAAGACAACTAAATGTAATACCTGGTCCTGGGCCGGACCCTGGACCAGGAGAAATGAGGGTGTTATTATTGGTGCAATTGGTGAAGTTGGACTACATACTGGATTTGTTAACAACGGTGATATCAAACTTTATGCTTTGGAAACAGCATTACTGTTATATAAGAGGATGTCCTTGTTTTGAGGAGACACCTGCTGAAAGCAGGGTGAAGGGCCATCTAGTCTCAAAGGGGTGAGCACAAGTAATGATTATAATAAGAGATGGAACAGGCCTGGCAGAATGTGAACACTGGCAGACCCAGATGAAGGGGACATGGGTATTCACTGTACTATTCTCGCAACTTTTCTGTAGATTTGAAAATGTTCAAGATGAAAAACCCAACGTGGTCCTGATGACTAGGAACCAGCTGGGGTCTGACTGCCCTTTGATGTTTGCACAGAATCCTCTTCCCAAAATCAGAACTTTCCAGAAACCAGCGGCCCTTCCTGGAACAGCCTGCACACCCAGCCAGCTCAGCTTGCTCAGCACGGGGGATGGGCTGACAGTGGAGGAAGAAAAAGGTACTGGAATGTTTCAGGCCTTTCCATCAACTTTCCTTTATCTAATCTGGTGGTTTCCCGCCTCCCTCCCCACTCCCAGATGTCCACTCAGAAGTCTGTTTATCAAATGCCTTTTGATCCATTTTCCACCACAACCTAGTAAGACATCTCAGAGAGAGCATATTGTCCTTGATTCATAGATGGATGGGAACAAAATCGTTCAAGGTCTAAAGTGGCTTGCCAGATCACCCAAGGAGACAACCCCATTCTCTCCCCATGGTGTCCCCAGCAAGCCTCACCTGGAAGCATCTGAAACACTCCTCCCTCCCCCTCTTTCCCTCATTCTTCATAGAGAGATGGATGGGGACAATGTAGGAAGTATCGATATCCTACTTTAAAAAATAATCTAAAACGGAAAACAATTTATCCACACTGAGAAGTGACAGCACTATTCATGGCAGCCAGAGAGTAGAGACAACCCAAACGTCCATCGACGTGGCCCATCCATACAACGGAGTATCACCCGCCATGAAGAATTAAGTTCTGACACATGCTACCATGTGGATGAAGCCTCAAACCCTGACGCTAAGAAGCCAGCCCCAAAGGACTGTGGGGTCCCGTTTCTCCCAGACAGCCAGAAGAGGCTAATCTGGAGAGACAGACGGCAGGAGGCTGGCCACAGGCTGGAGGGGAGAGGACAAACGGATGGCTGCTACTGGCTGTGGAGTTGCCTTCCGGGTGTGAAAATGCTCTACAATGGTGGTGACCAGGGCTGTACCACTCTGCCAACAACAACTGAATCGCACTGCCAGCGAGCAACCCACACAGGTTGTGAACCACATCGTGATATAACAATTTTAAAGAAGGCTCAAGCCCCTGGCTGAAGAACAAGGAGCGCCAAGCCACTGTCCACACAGTCCACACCTGTGAAGGCCCACTGCGAGGCCGAGTGTCTGGGTGGTGGGTCTCTGTCCCCCGGCCTACGCTCTTGGGGGGGCTCTTCCACCTCCCCCCACCTCTGCCTTTCCATTCGTGTCCTCATTGCCTTTAACTCTGAACAATTACACAACAAATTCACAGAAAACACAGATTAGCACAAGGAAGTGAAATTACATAACTTTACCCACCGTCTAGGACTTCTTTTTCCTTCTTCTTTTATAAATAATATTTTACTGTGTTTGCAGCGAACACTTACCCGCCATTTAGGTTCCCATCCAACAACCTCAAAGCAAGTTGTCCAATGACATGGGGGACGGCTTCACAAAGCGTGAGCAGTCTCAGGATTCCCATTCCAATCCTTTGTACATGGTCTTGGGGGGCCAGGAGAGTGGGGTCTGGAGGGCCTGCATCTGGGCGTGGGGACGCCCTGGGCCTTCTGGGGCAGGGGAAGGCCCCTCCATCCCCTGGCCTCGCGAAGACTCTGATCCTCTTCTCTCCCCTCGGTCCGATGTCTCCCTCCCTGGCCCCTTCTCTCCTGTCTCCCCACCCACTCTGCCTGCCACATACACTCCCTGGTGCCCACACCAGCGGGGGTGGCCGGACCACCACACTTTTATTTCTGATCCTCTACCTCTCTACTGTGGGAGTGTGAGTGCACGTGTGTGCATGAAAGTGTGTGTATGAGTGGACATGTGTGTGACTGTGAGGTGAGTACTGTGTTATGAGTGTGAGTGTGAAAGTGTGTGTGTGTATGAGTGTGTTGTGTGAGTGTGAGTGTTGAGTGGATGGACCAGGGGCCAGGACAACACAATGAGACCGTCTTCTCCGCCTTCTCTGCACCTCCCCACGCGTGTTCCTCCTCGTCTTCCCGCTGCCCGAGGAGCCCTGCACACCTGGGTCGGGGGCTCATCTCCACCTGGCCACCCACTGACGCTCCACAGCCGGGGGAGGGCGGCTGTGTGCACCTCCCACCTCCCCTCCTTGAAAGTCCATGGAGGACTTGGAGTGTGCGGCCTTTTTCAGTGGGGCCCACCTGGGAAGCCTGCTGAGTCTGTGGAGGTGGGGGCAGCCACCAGGAGGCAGGCACCCAGCCCACCCGCAGCTCGCACACCAGCATCAGGCCCAGCCGCTGGCTCTGCACCCCAAGAACAGGCAGATTCCCGCAGCCGAGTGGGCCCAGGGCTGGCACCAGGCCCTCAGATCCCAGGTGAGGACTGGGCAGTGCAGGAGTACACTGGCCAGCTGTTGGGCCCCACAGTGGGTTCCCATGCCTGTTCAGGTCCCTCCCCTCTCCCCACCTCCCAGCCACTCAGGGACCAGTCCCCGGGTGAAGGTGCCCTTCCAGGGACAAGGTCTGAAGTCAAGCCCCAAAGCTCCAGGCCCCGCTGCTGTCCCACCCCATCCTCCCATCAAACCCTCTATCTTCAGCTGCCACAAAGGCGCCTCACCTGGCCACATAGTGTCCGGCACATCCCACCATCTGGAAAGTTTATCCATCATTAATAATTTCCCAAGACATCAAATCTCGCTTCCTTTACACCACATTATACCAGGCAGTCAGGAAGGGTCCGACCCACCCACATGAAAACCACTTACACGCTCACTGCCTGGGCACAGGGATGTGCTGGGCCGGTCACACACAGCCCCCAGAGAGCAGAGCTGGCCAGGCCATAGCTGTTTGTAGGAACACAGACCAGGACAATAGGAGAACTGGGATACACAGAAGTGCAACAGCAGCTCAACCACACGCTTCACGCTCTTCAGAGAGCATCCCCCACATGCGCACACACATACACGCACGTGCACACCTGCATGCACACACATGCATGCGTGCACACGCACACACACTCAAGTCTGATTCAGTGCAATCTCATCTTGTGTCCTCTGGGCACAAGTGTCTGAGGAAGAGAGCCATTTTGGGGGACTTGCTGTGTGTCTAAGAAGCCCTGGTGGTGCCGTGGTTAACTGCTTGGCTGCTAACCACAAGGTCAGCCCCCCCCCCCAGCTGCTCCACGGACGATCTGGCCATGCGCCTCTGTAAAGATCTAGCCTTGGAAGCCCTAGGAGGCAGTCCCACTCTGTCCTACAGGGTTTGATACGTGTCGGAGTGGACTCAACGGCAACGGGTTTGGTGTATGGAGTGGCTGTGTGTCCACCACTCATCCGGTCCCCACCATTGTGTGCACAGGACCCGCCGGGGCCTGCCAGCATTCAGGCAGCCCTTGGCTCGTTCGCCCTGGGCTGTGAGCACCCCCTCCCACGTGGCACAAGAGAGGGGACACAGTGAGGAAGGCAGCGCCACAGGAGCCCTGCTGGAATCAGGTGGCTCTGGGCACCGTCACCCAGGCCAGAGGGCACATTTCACTTCCTGTCTGGTCCGGAGAGCCCCCATTCACCCTGGCTCCCGACGCAGGCCTAGACTGCCAGCTCTGCCAAGTGGCTCGGTCAGCCAAGTGGCTCCAGCTCACGCACACGCGCGGCTGGTCTCAGCCAGATCGCTGTCGCGCTGCAGCCGTGCAGTAGACGGCAAAGGACTCCAGGAGGTAGATGGCGGCCAGCAGCGTGGCGGGGGCTGTCACCGAGACGGGAGAAGCTTCCGGGCTGGCCTGGCTTTGCACAGGGCAGGGAACAGCGGCCTTCGGGCACGCAGATCACCGCCTCCTCCGTGCCCCTCCACCCTGCATTTATCACCCCATCGGGACGGTCTTTGCTGACCCCAGTTCCAATCTTACCAGCAGCAAGAGCCAGGGGGGTCGCTCACAGATCCTCCCATGGCCAACTTGTTCATTAAAAAGAAACCAGACAGTGTCTAAAGCCAATCGTCTCTAGCAGACACTGTAAGTCTGTGTCGGGCAACAATAAAAAGTGCAAATGTGCCACAGGAAAGAGTAGGACACAGGTGCCAGGCCACCACCCTTCGCCCAGACACCTGACTGCACAGGGTCATCTGGGGGGAGTCACAGGGGCAGGTGGGCATTTAAAAGCCCAAAAACCTAGTTCCTGGGCCGAGCTCAGGACCTGCATCTTGTGAGAGGAACCCCAACCCCCCCCCGCAATCCCACTCTCAGCCAGGATGGTGACCATGGCCTAGGACGTGCCAGCTGGAACAAGCGCGTCAAGGAAGAAAGCTGGAAGGGTCATCGTTTTCAGCACTGGCTTTATCCCAGAGCCCCTCAGGGGTCTGGCTTGTAATACCTTCACCTAGGATGTCCTTGGAGTCTCTGGGCAACACAAAGAATGACTACCTCGGGTGTTAACTGAGAGGTTGGAGGTTTGAGGCCATGCAGACACCTCACAAGAAAGACCTGGTGGTGTGCTTCTGAAAACTCGGCCACTGAAAGGCCCACAGAGTGCGGTCTACCCTGACCACACGGGGGCGCCAAGAGTGGGGACAGATGACGGCAGCTGTTTTTTTCCAGGGGATGTGGTGCCCTGAAGGAAAAGGCCTGACACTGTGGCTGCAACAATGGGCTCGGGTACACAAGGCTCGTGAGGCTGGCGCGGGGCCGGGCACTGTTTCGTTCTGTAGAACACAGCGTAGCCATGAGTCGGGGCCAACTCCACACAACCTAACGGTGACAACAGAGGGGCTGGACCGCAGCTGTCCGAGGCTGAGGGCGAGGACTGTGGTTTTAAGCAGGGCTCCCTGGGCCCTGGCGAGCCTCTGAGCCCTGCCTGGGCCTAGCTGGGGGGAGGTGACAAGTTCTGGCTTCCTGATGACTTCTGCAAAGACCCACAAATGCCAGGAATCCAGGCAGAAGGCAGTAACTGAGCCTGTGAAGTGGCCTCAGGGCATATGAAGTTCCCTGATCTTTTGAGATCCTTGATCCTAACCCCAAATAGAAAGAGATTCCAGCCTCACCTGTGGCTAACTTACCACTGGGCAGTCAGTGGGAAGAGGCCGGGGACAAGGGCACGGCCATCTCAAGGCAGCAGGGCTGGGGGCCTGAGAACCCCTGAGCCTAAGGAGCCATGGGTTCCTCCTGGGCCTGCCCCCGCCCCTGCAGGGCTGCTCTGCTCCGCAGGGGGGCAGAACGAGTGGGAGTGGGCCCGTTGCATCACCTCTCTCCCCACCACAGCACCCTGCAGGGAGCCCCTGGCCCCCCATCCAGAAGGTTCTCCCATTCTCCCCCAATCTTGATGAGTGCCAAAGCCAAACCTGAGAAAAGCCCTCACTGCCCCCCCAGTTGGGTTTTCTGGAAACTTCTCTGCAACCACATACGCAAGCCCAGGTGGCCTGGGTCTTAGGGTTCCCACAGGTAGGAGCACTGACCACTTCCAGCCAGGGCAGCAGGGCTGCCCAAGGGTGACTGGGTGTGGCCAGGAGCTGGGCGGGGTAGGGATGGGGGCACCG